GGGCCGTCCCGCCGCCGCCGCCGCCGCCGCGCGCTCTCCCGGGCCGGCGGCCCGAGCTTGCCGCTGAGGGGCCGCTCCCGACGGACGGCCGCGGGCGGCCCCGGAGCTGCGGGGGGCGCGGGGCGCGGGCTGCGGGCTGCTCCCGCGCCGCGCGCCGGCCGAGGGCCAGCCGAGCAGGGCGCCTGCGTGCTCCCGGCGCGCTCGCTCCCACTCGCCGCGCCGCGCCCGGGGCCAGAGGAGGCCCCGCCGAGCGCCGGCTCCTGAGGCGCCTTTTCCTGCGCCCGCAGCCCCCGCCTCCCACCTGGGAGGCTGCACCTCCAGCCGCCGCCGCCGCCGCCGCCGGGACTGCAGCACGCCCTCCTCCCTCGGGGCTGCGCCGGGTAATTGCAAACCGGGGCTGTGCTGCCCCCTGCCGGCCCGAGCGCCCCCTGCTGCTGTAGGTGTGCTCACGTGTGTACACGTAGGTGAGCACATACGTGTTTCCGGCGCCCTGAGCCCCGCAGCCCTGCAGCCACCTGAGGGTCTCCCCTTGCCTAGTGAGGAAAGCGGGGCTGCCTGCCCTGCGGGAAGCCTTGTCCCGGAGGCCCGAGAGGGAGGGAGAGAATAGCGTTCAGGGAAGGCCCTACTGAGCCCTCAGTTTCCCCTTTTGGAAAAGGCGAGGGGAACACTAGGTGATCTACAGTGTCCCTGATAAATCAAGTTCTGTCCGTTTAAGATGTCAGAGCTGGAAGGGCCCTTTTGGCCATTCCAGTCCAATGGACTCCTTCCAAGTAAGGAAACTGAGGCTGGGCATGGAGTGGGGAGTACTTTTCCAACTGACTCCACAAGAAAAGAAAATACCTTTCCTCAAGAAGCTTGTGTCCAGTATTGATGCAGAGGCCTGCACAAATAACTAGCCATAACTGGAAAGGCCGGTTACGGTCAGAGGCAGAGAGAAGTGTTTATAAACAATGCCCCTCAGGTATAGGAGTTCAAGCTCTGCTTCGGGGAGAAGTGAGTCCTCCAGTGTTGCTGGAAGGAATGTTGGGGAAGACCATGTTGAAAGGAGGGCTGGCCTCTCCAGAACAATAACACTGCCTTTTTTTTTTTTTTTAATTTTCATTTATTTATTTATTTATTTATTTTTGTGTGCCTCACACTGTGCTAAGTAAGCCCTTTGCATTCATCATCCCACTTAATCCTGGGAATAACTTGGTTCTACAGCCGGTCTTAGCCCCATTGTACAGAGGAGGGAATTGAAGCTTAGGGTGCTTAAGAGACTTGCTCCAGATTTCATGGTTTACAGGAGCTCATTTGCAGGACTTCAGAGCTCCTAACCACTGCCAGGCTGAGGCATGCGGCAGGACTGGCAAACAGTGAAGGTTCCTGAGAGGTCTGGAAGGAGGCAGTGGCCACAGCAAAAGGGACAGAGAAAGAGGGAGGGATGAATTCAGGCAGCATTCTGGAAATGGACATTGATTATGTGATTTCATGGGTGATATTTTCATTAATCCTGGCTCCAGCCCTTCCAGGCAGTTCTGTTTATCCCCGTGTCTTAGGTGGAGTTTGGGGCTTAGAGGAGTAAGATCCTTGCCTGAGGTCTCAGAGCCCCCGGCCAGCAACCACCAGTGCCTTGACTTGTTCGGTAGTGTTCTCTGTACGCTCTCTAGGGCTCTACCACAGTGACACTGTCCTGTGAGGGGGCATCTGCAAACAGCCTTCAGATACGTACTCCGCTCCCCTTCCCCCAAGACTCCACTTAATAGAATACCATCAGCAAGTTGGTGTTCAGAAGTAGCCCCGTGTGCTTACTGGTTTCTAAGGACAGCTCATTTCCCGCTGGGTAGCCTAGAAGTACTATAGTAGACTGAGTAATGGCCCCCCAAAGATGTCCACATCCTGATCCCCTTTACAGATATAATTAAATTAAGGAGTTTGAGGTGGGGAGATGATCCTGGATGAGCCAGGTAGGCCCAATCTAATCACAAGGGTCCTTACAAAAGGGAGGCAGGAGGGTCAGCATTAGAGTGATGTGACATTGGCAGCAGAAGTCAAAGTGATGGGTCCAGGGGCCAAGGAATGCAGGCAGCTGCTGGAAGCTGGAAAAGGTAAGGACCAGATAATCTAGATATTCCAGAAGAAATGCAGTCTTTGATTTTAGCTTATAAAAATCCATCTCAAACTCTGGCTTCCTGAATTTTACAAAAGTACATCTGTACTATTTCAAGCCACTAGGTTCGCGGTAATTTATTTCAGCAGCAATAGGAAACAAATACAAGGGCAACATCACGTCCTAGCAGAGCCGGTGCATTTACAGTTTTCCAAGCCACGCCTCCATAGAGAGGGTCATTCAGGTTGTGATTATTGGTTCTCCTTGTCTCCCACCAGACATCAACTTCTGGAAGGACATGGCTTTTTCTTACTCATTGTATCCCCACCTAGCACCTAGATTGCTATCTGGTAAGGAGTGGGTGCTCAAACAAACAAACAAACAAAAACATTTGTTGAATGACTTCAGGATCTCATTTCATCGTTCTGTGGCCCTATGGCGGCATAGGAATTGCTCTTGCCTTTTAGAGACGGGGAGAATGAGCACCGGAGTACAGCCTGAACTCACATTCCCGTCTCCCAACTGTAGATCCCACGTGCCGCCTGCTACCCACAGCACTGCGTCATTGAGAATTCCGTGGGGCTGCCACGTGGCTTTAGGGTACCCCCATCTCCTTTGTATCGGTGCTGTCACCCACTGGATCTCATTCAGTCCTTGTCAGTAGAGTGATTCAAACACTCTTTTCTCTACCACACTGAGCAGAAACAGAGGCTCAGGCCTTCCTTTGATTAAATTCCATGTCACTCAAGTTTCAACCTGAGAATGTCAACATTTGACGAGGCAGTTTGCATTTTGTCTGCTCACGGTGCTATGTATCTCAAAATAGCGATAGCTCTTTCTTCGTCTTTGCCTTTTGGACCTAGAAGTCTCTGTCCCTGTTAGCTGAGGTCTATAACCAGCCCTTCCAAAATGTTCATTGCCATTTCTCAGCCCTCGTCTGTGTTCAGCACGAACAGGCTGGAACTGCACACGTATCCTGTTTGCCAACATAACAGTCTTTGAGGAGCCCTTCTGTCCTCAGACCATTATGCAGAAGCCCCCGTGTTTTCCCTTGCATTTCTGTCTAGAACCATATCGGGCTGAAGTTCCCCAGAAACGGTGGACACTCAATGCCAGGTCCTTTCCTTGGTTATCACTAGTAGCTTGACTTCCTCAGTTTTCTGGGCAGTATTTGGAGTCTGGTCTCTAGAGTCACCTCCTTGCCTTGTCCTCATTAAAAGTCAGCTCCCACTTCTTCACCCACCTCCTCAGGTCCACGAGAACTCCCCACAGTCCTTGCCGTCACTACTCCACACACCCCGAGTCATCCGCAAACCTCGGAGAGTTCCTCATGCACTCCCTCCCTCCAGAGTAGTTTTACATGTTAATTAAACAGCCCTTAGCCCTGTCTCTAAGGAACTCCTTTCACAAATGTGCCATTTATCCCTATCCTTTGTTTCCTGGCTCCTTTCCTAGACTCAATAAAATTGTGCCCTCATTCCATCAGACTCTTTTCTTCATAGAACAGGATTACGCTCCAGTGTATGTTCCTATTGACTCCCCTGTAAAGTTTTCCCTCCATAGGCATTCGCTGAGACCTTACTATGTACCACAAAGCCTTCCCTACCCTTTCTAGTGTTTGGTAAATGCTTCATCTTTCTGGTATTGTTCCATACTAATCATGGCTAGCATTAATTACAGACTGTGTAGTGGGCAGCTGCTGTGGTTTCTGCCAGCCTACACCTGGCTTGTTTGGGTTACTTTGCAAATTACTCTACCTGCACGCAGAGTCCTAATGGTCTAGGTGAAGCTGACCCCATCCCCTGCCTCAGGTTTGGCACCTGATCAGGCTTGGCTAATCAGAGCACTGCATTTCCCAGACACCTGTTACTGGCTCAGAAATGGGCAGTGACCTAAGTCAGGCCAATGGAGGTCAGTCCGGGACCTCTTGTTGAGATTGTTGGGAACCAGCAGTGTTATGCCTAGACAAGCTTGCTGCTTGCCGTGGGCCCACCTTGACACCACATGGGGAAACCCTGAGGATGAGAACCACGCAAAAAAAAAGCAGAGCCAAGAGATGGAGAGACATCAATTTCTAGTGTCTATTTGATTTTTGACAACCTGGATCCAGCCATGCCTGAAGCTACACCCTGGAATTTATAATTTAAGTAGTAACGCAGATTAGAATGATGATTTTCCAGATCCCAGATCTTTCCTTTTCTTTATTTGCTCTCTTTCCAATGTATAAGCATTGTTTTGTTGGTTTTGTCTTGTTTTGTTTTTATTCATTTGAGAGAGATACAGAGACAG